AAGAAGGGACTGGCCCATGCAAAGACACAGAGGTGGGACAGTGAATATCTCATCCAGAAACCTGCCAGCGAGCGGCTGGTGTGAGCCCAAGTCAAGAGGGACATCATGTGAGTAGAGAACAGGAGGTAGGCGGAGGCCAGACCACAAGGGGTACTTGGGGGCAAGGAGTATGACTCCATCCTAGGTACGTGGAGAACCCAGAGAGAGCAATTAAACTAAGGAGCGGCATGATTCAATTTGTATCTCAGAAAGATCCATCTAAATAGATAATAAGAACTATCCAACTAGTTCTGTTATTTGATGGGCAAATCTGTTTGAGGGATTCTAGTCAAAGGAAATAATCCCAAAAGAAAACAAAGGCCATTTGTCTGAAGATGTTCCCAGCAGCACTATTTGTCATAATGACAAAATGGCCAAAGTCCACGTGGCCAACTCTGGATGAATGAGGCATGATCCACACCCTCAAGTTGCTCTCATAGGAAGGAGAGAGAAATAAACATACTGTCAGTACAGGGGGGACAGTGGCTGGTGCCTAGAGAGACAGGTGAAGGGCTGTGGCGGTTTAGTGATGAGAAAGCTTAGCTGGGGAGATCCAGGGAAGGCACCCTGGAAGAGGTGCCGTTTAAGCTGGGAGGTAGAATTAGGCCCTAAAGAGAAACAAGGCAAGGGAGTGTATTTTAGACAAGGGGATTCATCACACCTTGTGCAAAGTCAAGGAGACTGCAAAATCCCAAATATACATGGGGAGCTGTGTGTGGTTCAGTGTGCCAGGGGTTTTCAGCCTTAACTCTGCTTTAAAACATATAATGGCAGGACATTATGCCACTACAGGCATTCCTAACTTTAGAGAAAAACAGAAATTTAGCCAGCAATTAAAACACTACAATCATTCATATTCATCACAACTTCTAATGGTATGTGAGCAACATGAGCTCATTACAGGCTGGGGCACAGGTAAGGCGGGGGAGGCCAGTGATGTAAAATCTTAGGTGTGACTCTTACCCCTTTCTCTCTCACTCAGGAAAGCACATCAGCTGGCCACCAGCAAGAATGAGATGTTTAGAGGGAAAACCTGAACCTGCCCTGACTGGTACTCAGAGTTTCCCCCAAATGGCCAAGAAGCACATGAAGAGATGCTCAACATCATTGGTCATTCAGGAAATACAAATCAAAACCACAGTGAGATACCACTTCATACCCACTAAGATGGCTGTGATCTGAAAAGTAGAAAATAACAAGTGTTGGCAAGGACATGAAAAAATTGGAACCCTTGTACACTGCTGGTGGGAATGTGAAATGGTTCAGCCACTGTGGAGAATAGTTTAGGAGTTCCCCACAATTTAAGCATGGAATTATGATATAATCCCGCAATTCCACTGCTAGGTATACAACTGAAATAATTGGAAACAAGTACTCAAATCCATGTACCCAAATGTCATAAAAGCACTAGTCATAATAGTCAAAAGGAGGAAACAGCCCAAAAGTCTCCATCAATGGAAGAATGGATAAACAAATTGCGGTAAACAACAGACTATTATCTGGCCATAAAAAAGTGAAGTCCTAATACATGCTCCAACATGGATGAACCTCAAAAACATTATGCTAAGTGAAAGAAATCAGATGCAAAAGGTCACATATTGTATGATTCCATTTATATGAAATATCCAAGACAGGCAAATCCATAGAGACAGAAAGCAGTTTCGTGGTTGCCACAGGCTGGTGGAGTGGGGATGGGGGGAATGGGGAGGGACTGCTTGATGGGAATGAAGCTTTCTTTGGAGTGATGAAAAGGTTTTGGAACTAGAGATGATGGCTGCACAACATTGAAAATGTACTAAATGCCACTGAATTGTCATTATGAAAATGGCTAGTTTTATGTTACGTGAATTTCACCTCGATTTAAAAAAGTAAATCAAGATATCCAAATGTCCAATACATATACGAAAAGGTAATCGACTTAATAATCAGGAAAACATACATTAAGACGACAGTAAGATTCTAACGTGCACCCATTAGCACTGCTGGAGTTAAGCAGTTCTACTGCTGACAACACCACTGTGCTGTCAACACCAAGTGCTGGTGAGGAGGTGAAGAAACAGAGGCTCTCCTACCAGCTTGACGGCCGTGAGCCCCGGCACAACCATAGTGGAAGCCGTGCTGCCATTGTTCATTTGGAGGGCCTGCCTACCCTGTCGGCCAGCACCGCACTTCCACGTGTACAACCAACGGAAATGTGTGCACATGTGCACAAAGAGACATGGACAAACAGCATGTCAGAGACACGCTACAATATTAGCCCCAAATGGAAACCACCCAAATGTCATTGGAAAAAAATGGATAAATAATGGACAGTAAATTAATACAGTGGGATACTGTACAGAAAGGAAGATGAATTAACTACAGTGAAATGCAACAGCATAAATGAATCTCAAAACTTAATATTCAGGGAGAGAAGCCAGACACCAAAGGAGACACCCCACATGTATAAAGCTCAAAAACAAAGAAAAACTGAACTTCAGAATTTGGGGATCCATGCTTAGGTACTAATGTTATTTTCTAAAAGGAAGGAAGGAATCACCATAAAAGTCAAGGGGATGGTTACCTCTGAGGGGAGGGAGGGAATAATCACAGCCAAGGGGCACAGGAGAGCTTCTGGGGGCTATTCCATTTCTTGACCCACTTACATGAAAGTTTGCTTTGTGAGAAATCATGGGACTGTATTTTTGTGTGCACTTTTCTGAATAGATGTCATATTTCACAATAAAACAGTTTAAAGAAAAGTAGATCATTTGCACATATTAACATTTTGTAATCAGGAACAAATTAGTTATGACACCACTGCCCCTGTCTCACAACAACTTCCTTATCTTCTAAAAGAGCAGGCATTCCAGTGACACTGTAACTTTACCAGCTCAGCCCTCACCCACTAGGGGCACAAGGATTGATGCGAGGGATAAGGGGCCAACTGACAAGGGTCTCTTTAAACAGGGTGAGCCAGAAAACCCTCAGGAGCTGAGAAGCCTGGGGTCTCTGGACCACGTTTCCTCATCTGAAGCACAGTCCCAGTACCCAGCTCCTGGAGTGATTGTGATGATTGAGTGAATGAAGGATGAACATATCACACATATGAAGTGGTTTACAAGTGTTAGCCTTATTAAACTTCATGCCAGATTTAGTTTACAGGAGGATATTTCAGGTCTAGGAAGATTCTCCCCTCGAGGGACACTGAATATCCATCAATCACCCATCAGTAATGGGTATGCCTAACTTTAGAGAAAACCAAAAGTTTAGCCAGTAATTAAAACACTACAATCATTCATTCTTCTCCTGAGGGTTTCCTGGCACTCCCTTTTTACATTAAGGATAGGCACAGGACTTCCTCTGTGTTAGAAAAACAGCCCTGACCTGGCATCCAGAGAGCCAGCCTACAAACGCAGGAGGGGAAAGAAACACCAAATTTTCTCTCCCCAGACCTTCTCCATTTCGGGGGTGGGGTTGCAGCAGAGTTCGCAAAGACCACAGAACCTGAAGCTGCCCTCTGCCGCTGAGTTGGCAGTACCTCATATTACATGCAAAACTGCAACGTTCCGACACGGGCCACGGTGCTGAGAAGCCAAAACTGTGCTCCAGCTGCCCTTTGTTCTGCAAGAAATGCCAGGCTGGATGCTCTGGCAGGAAAAGTTGTCATTGTGTTTGAGTCTTGCTCCCAAGTAGGCAAGGGTCTGGGCTCTCCCAGGCTTCCTTCAGCACACAAAGAGTTAACCATGGCCACCCAACAGTCCTCAGTTTCCTTCACAGAGACAGAGGTTGTGTTCATCACCCCCCCCCCCAGGCCCTGTCTCCCAGCACACTTATTCTATGGAGACTGTGCACTAATCTCCTAAATCCAAAAGCAGTCCGAGGCTACTATTTGGAGAGTGGTAGCTCTCCTGCAAAACTGCATGGAGAAAGGGCTGAGCAGGGAAGGACCAGAGTCTAGAGACCTTGGCACCCAAGCCCTGCCTTTTGCACAGGCCAGTTCCTAAGCCTCTCTCACCCTGAGTGTCCTCTTCCGTAAAAATGTCTGCATTGCTTTCCAACACAGCTATTGCAAGGATCAACCTGTAGTTTCGATCACTTATTTTGTGCCCAGTATGTGCCATGGTGTGGAAAGCATATTATTTCTAATATCTCTTTTAATCTGCACAGCATTCCTAGGAGGAAAGGTCGTCTAAGTATTCCCCTTTTTCGGATGGGGAAACTGAGGCAAAGAGTGGTGAAATTCATTGTCCAATGGCACCTAACACAGCCACAATTCAAGCCCAGGAAGCCTGAACACACTTTAACTCAAAACTGTTTTAACTCAGACTCCACTAGTCATGCAACCGCCTCTGGGTCCTGGTGGGGAAAGTGAGGCCTGGGAACAGAAGGTACCAGATCCCCTGGTCCCTAGTCCATAGCTCTTCCCATCACGCATGGAGCTACTGCCCACGATGGATGGGACTCTCCAGGTAACTCAGGGCTAAGTTGGCATCAGGGCAATTCAGTCCCGTTATTTCTTGCGCGGCAAAGCGCCAGGTGTCTCAGCTGGCAGTCGTGCTTCCGCACCTGTGTACAGAGAGGGCACCAGCTCTGCCCTTACAATGAGCCAGCCAGCACGCGCGACCTGAGCGCGGGCCCTGGGTGAGCTGGAGCTAACTGTCCCTGCGGAGCCGCTGGCGCTGTCACTGGGCTTCCGAGGTCCCCCTCTGCCCAAGATTGGAAGGGCTGCGCCTAGCTCAGACACCTCGGGTGCCCGGACAGCGCTCCACCCGCTCCGGCCGCCCAGAGACTCCCATTCGCCTCTCGAACCCCCGGCAGCGCCCGGGGAAGCCGTGGCAGAACCACCAGTGCGCACCGAGAGGCGAGGACTCCCTTTTATGTCCAGGAATGAGGCGCGCACCGCAGCCGCGCCCGCAGCCAAAACCAACTTCCCCCAGGTGCGGAGGTAGCCGGTGCCACCCTCGGGCCGGGCCGCTTACCTGTCGCGGAGCGGGTCCGGGTGACAGCGGGGAGAAGCACGGAGATGGAAAGCAGCCACAGCAGGCGCCAACACTGCGTGTCCCTCCTGCGAGAAGTGGCGGAGAGAGAGAAAGTGAGGCGGCCGGGAGGGGCCGGGGGGAGCCGGGGCGCGGGGCAGCGAGTCCTACCTTTGCGCCATCCCGCAGTTCCGCGAGCCTCCGAGGGCACCGGGCCGCCAAGCTCCACGGACGGCGACGGGCTCTGCGCGCGGGCCGCTCGCCCTTCCTGCCGGGAACAAAGGCGGCGCTGGGCAGGGGCAGCGGCAACGGCAGCGGCGGGCAGGATCCGGCCCGCGCCCTGAGTCACCCGCGCTCTGAAACCCGACTCTGCCGCGCCCTGCGGTCCCCCGTGCGCTGCGCCGCGCCCCACCTCGGGCAGTGCCGCAGCGGCGCACTCACGTCCCGTGGCTCTTGGCCGCGCTGACCACCTCCCCACGCCACTCACCCCCTCGACAGATGCGCGACCCCCAGCCGTGGCTTCCACCCGGGTGGCCTTGTGTAACCGAGAAAAGCCCGGCGCCCGCGCTCTTGTGGGTCAGAGGGCAGCTCCCTCCGGCCCTCACGTCTGTGCCTGTCCGGGCTGCTCCGCAGACAAAGCACTCTCTTTACGGGCCAATGAAATCCTCTCACCAGCCCAGAAAGGCTGGAATCGCTCTGATTTCCCTAAATGACAACGAAGAAACTGAGGCTCAGAGAGACGCAGTGAATGTCCCAAATTCACACAGCTGGATTGGGCTCCTGACTGCTGTGCCCCGCCCTGCACGCTTGACACACAACCCCCTTGAATGCCCAGGAATGGCCCCCTTGGGGCGGCATAAGTGATTCATGTAAATAAACGCAGCAAAGAGAACCCTAATAAAAATTTTAAATTTATCTACTATTGCAAGGTTTTCCTCTTTATACCTTGCCAGCACCACCATCCTCCACCACCAGAATGTAAGCTCCAGAAGGGCAAGAATTTATATTTGTTTTGTTCTCTGTCTAAAATAGTACCTGGCAGTAGGAGATGCCAATAAACAGGGGACGAATGAAGGAACACAATTCTTAGGTGAGATACCACTCCAGGCACTGTGATGACCGGGGACAGAAGAACCAGTCTCAGCCTACAGAAGCACACATGGGTAGTGTGCATGGTTGGCAGGGAGGGAGCAGAGGGCAGACTATTCCACCTCTACAGATCTTAGCACAGGGCCTGGCACTGGCTAAAACCTCAAATGGTGGCTTTTTTTTTTTTTGGCGATACGCGGGCCTCTCACTGTTGTGGCCTCTTCCGTTGCGGAGCACAGGCTCTGGACGCGCAGGCTCAGCGGCCATGGCTCACGGGCCTAGCCGCTCTGCGGCATGTGGGATCTTCCCGGACCGGGGCACGAACCCGTGTCCCCTGCATCGGCAGGCGGACTCTCAACCACTGCGCCACCAGAGAAGCCCGGTGGCTTTTTATTATTATGATTACCACCAGGCCCAGTAGTGTAAGATATCTGGGGGAGATGAGGCACCACTGAGATCAGCTGAGACCTGGAGAGTTCTGAAGCCAGGCAGGCCCAGGGGCGTCTCTTCCTGGTGCACCAAGTAGCCACAGTGCTGTCACTCTGTGGTCAGTTCCTGGTTTTCCTTTCTAGATGGCAAGTCACCACCTGCAGAGATGGGATGGGGATGGACATCGTAGCTAACATTTATTGAGTGCTGATTGTGTCCTGGCCCTGTGCTAAATGCTTTACTCATGACAATCAATTCCCGCAACAGCCCTGGATAGGTGATACTTCAATGATCCTTATTTCATAGATGAGGAAGCTGAGGTTTAAAATGTGCCCAAGCTAGTGCATGACAGGTACCAACACCCATGCTCTTCACGACTCCATCACACTACCTGTCTGTGAACAAGAGGATTACACCCATTTCCCCACCCTTGAAAGCAAAATTGCACTGGAGATAGATAATGGTGCACTCATGCATGAAGGGGTTAATGCCAGCATGGGCAGTGAGGGCTCCAGAGGGAGCTCTGGCCTGGGGTCAGGAGCCTGGATTCCAGTCCAGTTCTGGCCCTAGCTGCAGAGTGAAGTTGGGCAAATCCTTGTGTGACTTTTTATTTCTTCATCTATAAAATGGACGTAATGATCCTGCTGTGGGTGGGTGGCTGGAATGTCGATGAAATCACTTGGATGCCACAGTGCTCTGTCCACTGTAAAGTGCTGTACAGATGTGAGGGGTCAGCTGGGATTAATGCACACAGTCTTCAAAAAAGAAAGAAAAACCAGCATGGTCTGGAGAAGGCAGGCGAGGCTTCAGCCCGGTAGTGAAGTTAACCCAGACTCTGGGGTCTATGGAGGGTTTGCAGGGGGCAGGGGGGGGTGCAAATAGGAGGGAGGGGAAAAGCAGCCAATGCAGCTCTAGAGCTAGGATGGCCCCACATGAAGCTAACACAAAAGGCAAAGTGCATTCTAACAAAACGGTTAGGCTTCTTTCTTATTCTGTGAATATGAATTCTTCTCCCACTTGCAGCCATGCTGTGCTGGACATACCTTATTTTATTAAGAATTACTAACCGTAAGGAATTTGCCTTATTAGTTCTATATCTTTTATTGCTTATAAAGTACCACATCAACTGGGAATGTAATTGATTTTCTTAGAACTATAGGAGATATGTATATGTAAAGCTGATTCACTTTGTTATACAGCAGAAACTAACACACAATTGTAAAGCAATTACACTCCAATAAAGATGTTAAAAAAAAGAAAGAACTAGAATTCTACATTGCTTCGAAAGAGCCACATCAACTATGATTATATAATAGTTCTATTGTCCTATTTGATGCTTAAAACCACAGGTTGTGAACTGGTGGCCGTGGGCTCAATTTGTCCCACAGATATGTTTTGTCCAGCCTGCCTGGTGTCAACCTCCAAATTAAATTAGTTAGCAATATATTTGATAATTAGTTGATTTTACATTAAAATCCAGAATTCTGGCTTCTTTTTAAATTTTTGGAAAACCTGGCAACATGGGGCTTGCATTCCCTGTGCCAGTGATTGATTTGCATGAAAAGCGGGTGGCTGCCTTCAGTCAAGGCCATGTTCTCCAGTTTGCCATGATCCCTACCATCCCTATTGTTCCCCAACACCAAGCCTAAGAATCATTTGCCATTTCTCATCACATATGCACTCTGCCTTTTCTTATAAGAAAGAGAAAAGTGGAATAGATTGAGCATTCATATCTCAGTTAGAAATGGGGGGAAAACATATATAGACAGAGAAGGGGAGCATGTTTCAAGAAAGATGTGGAAGAACATATTTCTACATGTTTAATATACAAATTAAGAATACCTACATTGAAAAAATGAAAACTAAAATGCCGTGATGAAAAAACCTGGTCCCCCTCAGTTATGCATGTTACCTGATGGATGAAAGGATAGCTGTATTTTGATTGGTGGGCTTGATTGTGGTCCAATTTATCAGTCCAAGATACATATGCATAAATCAGCAGCTTCCTTTATTATTCTGACAGGGAAGTCGTTTGTGCACATTTCATAGTTTGTTGGTTCTGTGTAAGTATCTGATAATATCTAATTCACTACAATCTAAAGATATAAGTCCCCAGAGCACATTTCTTTCCTACAAATGACTGGAAATGGATGCATGTTAATATTGTTAATTTTGTACTATTTCACCTGGGAAGCCAGACCATGTTCCTAGGTAATCAGGGCTCTCATTTTTAAAGTTGGGCCTGGAGGTGGGAACTGTGAACTCAGACTGATGGAGGACAGGGAGGGCATCCGGCCTGGGAGCTGAAGGGGGACCAAATGGTCCCAGCTGCCGGTGTGGGAGGGATAGGGGCAGGATGCCAAGCAAGACGTTTCGCCTCCTGCCAGACTGTGTTTTGAGGGTTTAAGCGATTTCCTTCTATTCAATATGAAGTTGTAGAAATAGCCAAGAGGAAGCTTTGTGTCATATTGGAGCTGGTCTAAATTGTTTACCACGGCTTCAGTACAATCTGCGAGATCGGGACGTGTGGAGGTGGGGGGATCTAGGTCCCAGCTCTTGAAGGACTCAACTAAATTAACGGGCTGTTCCATTTTCCTATAAACCACCCAACTGTCCCAGTAAACTCAATCTCCAAAAGCATTCTCCAGACTGTCTCAAGCAGCTGGAAGGGGCACAAAAATCAGTGAGAAGCATCCCAGGTTGTGGTTTAGGAAGAAGTTACGAAGAACATAGCGCATGTCTTTCTGAACATGTTTCCTCGAGACGTGGGGACACGTGAGGAGCTGTGGTGAGGAAGTTCACAGGAGACACTCGAAGCTTGCATCTTCATCTGGTTTCAGGAGCAGAAAAAGCAGAATAGACCTAACTAGCTGACTAGAAAAGAATTAACTGGAATATCCAGAGAAAAGGGCTGCCCTTTGGGTAAACAAGAGAAAACAATGACAGTGTAATCCCACAAGTGCCTTCCACGGAGGATGCTTTTGTTCTGATGAGCACCTTGATGTGTCTGGCTATGCCAAGGGAGACCATGGGCTACTAAGAGCTGATTTGTTCCGCATGAGAGATGAATATGAAAATCTGACAATCCTAGTGGGAAGAGGACAAGAAAAAAAAAGGAGGGAGGGTGTGTCAAACACCTCTTAGGTGCCACTGCCAGTGCCCGTCCCTACCCTCTGCCTCCATCATTTATGTGCACCATAGGCAAGGTCATCCAGCTGCCAGCAACTGCTTCCCTTCACCTGAGCACTTTCTCTGGCTGCTGGAGCCTGCTCTGCCCACAGCATAGCGGACTGGAAGTGCTAGGGAATCAGTGCTGACCCCCCAGCTGCTCTCAACCAGTGGCTGACAGGATAAAAACCTGGGCTCCCTTTCCCATTTGGTGGGAACGTCTAGACACCCAGAGTCCCCATCCCCGTCACAGCCCCTTGCCCCTTACCCACACTGAGCACCTCTCCCTTCCTGCCCAGGGCCTCCCTGCAGATGCTGACCTCTGACACACTGCCTAATCCACTCAGCCCGGGCAACCTGGAAGTACAGGAGAAATAACACCACACAAAGCAAATATTTAGCCAATGGAAGCCAGCAAATACATTTCTCTCCCTTCTTCAACCAGATGCACCGTCCTGAGAAAGTCATTTATACGCCATCTGAGAGATGCTCTCACAAGACCGAGTGATCAATCATCTAATGCCTCTCATTGGCTCTTCCTCCTTCCCTGCCTCACTTCTCTTTTCTTCACTTCTGC